GCTATATCTGGGGGCTGGAGAAATATTCAAGTGGTTAGAGACATTTGCTGCTCTTGCAGATGACTGGAGTTTGGTTCACAACACCCACATTGGGCAGCTCTCAACAGCCTGTAACTCCAGCTCCAGGAAATCTGATGCCTTCCATCTTCTGTGTCTGTGATCTCCTCTGTGCGTGTGCACGTATTCACATAGACACTCACAGCATAAACAAACAGTTAAATCTTTAAATACTGAAGCTACAGTTGAAGTTAGGGTTTACCCATCTCAGTTATAAAGCTGGAACTGCCTGCCTGTTTGTTTATTCATTTGTTTGGTCTCATCTCTCAAGGTCTCCAAACGCACTCACTGCTCTTTGCATTGTACCCCCAAAAATCCAGTGTGAGCCAGAACCATCATGCGGCATAATACTCTGCGTACATGAAACCCATTGAGCCTCATGCAGTCTGTGACTGTAAGGAGTTGTGACTCACCGTCATTCCCCGGAATCACAAGAAACATTCATTGTTCCACAAGTCACTAACCATCGAAAAGATCAAAATTCAGAGTATAGCATCTCCTGAATGCACACTGCCTTCCCACCATCATGTATGTGCAGTCGGGAAATTGAGTGGATCCATTCCATCAGGACATCTGCATTGTAAAGCAACAAATAACATAGCGATACAAATGCTTTAAGTCCAGCTGTGATTTTCAAAGTACTATGATGTTTAACTGACCTGTTTTTTCAAGGGGTTAAGGGAAATTAACTGTGTCCGAATGGCCATACAATGTTGTTCTCATGTCAACTCAAACAGCCCATTTTTGGTTAACTTGCTTTGCAGGACTCCTGTTTCCCAAAGGCTGCACTGCCCGCCCCATCTGTTGGGTTCTTTATGTGGGGTCTGCGCATGAGCACCTTGTCCAGTGTGAGAAACCAGAAGTCGCTGTCAAAAGATGTCAACGGTTTAGCACTTCCCAAGCAGTCACAGTTCTTAATCTCCCCCCTTCTCAGCCTTGAGTGGAGGAGATAACCCAGCAGACCGCCTTTGAAATCATAGTGAACTCATTGACTCCCATCAGAAGCGCTTCAGTGGTTGCAAGCATTGCAGTGTAGATTAAATCCTCAAAGAGTCTAAACTGTGTACAAAAAGTGGAATGATAGAGAACTTCTTGTTGTTTTGAGGGTCCAAGATCAAATTGCCTCTGTCTTTGATATTATATTCCATTGATCTTGATTTATCATGACCACTTAGAATTGCTTTGCAAACAAAACCTAGTTATCTGGTGTTATAAATGTCCTAGAATGTTAGAGTGCTGGGTGGACGTGGGTGGTGTACTGTCGTAGGTTCAGCATCCACAAAGCTGACACATGGGATCACAGGTCCAAGGACATCCCGGCCTGTATAGCATAACAGAACCCCTCTTCCCCCACAAACTTAACTGGAGAAAAAGTTCAAGACTACTCTGTCCATTAAAGGAAAAACAGACAAAGAGACATTCCAAAGTGAGGCCGAGAAACAGCTAACTCAGCAGTGTGGTACGTCCCTGCCATGCCCAAGGCCCTGAGTTGTTTCCCAGCACCATAAAACAAAACGAATGTTATCTTCAATACCAGTGTCTTAACATTTAATTAATATGACAGTACCACAGTGTCCCTTCTTTCCTGTGGTAATACACTCATGTTACTGTATCAAAGAATAACGTGAGTACATAGCTTACAAGAACACAAAATTGAATCATGAAAATTAGAAAAAGTTTTTGTTTTTACATTTTAAAGTGAATTGCACAGACTGCCAAAGATTCGTTCTTTGGGGTATGGTTTGCCTGATCCCCTTCATCAGGAATGCTAGTTTTAAAACACATATCAACTTAAAATGCAATGTGAAGTTCTGCAACGCCTTGGAATTCCAAATGTCTCTTACTGGGAATGCTTAAATGATATTTTTCTGTTCAATTAAAAAGACTATTTGATGACCATTTAATTTTGAGATTCTATATAGACTTTCCTCCAAAGAGCCAAATGCTGGTTTTGGAAGGAAATTTGTGTTGAATTTAAGACATATTTATTCAGTGTGTCAAAGGAGAAATTATAACAATGCAATTGAAAGATCATTAAGGCCAATTAGTGTCTTTTTCTTCAGATTCTGGAATCAGGCCACTGATCACTCTGTAACACAGAGTCAGTATTTTAATAGGCTCAGCAGACAGGTGAGTTTTTATAAGCAGAGAAGGGCTGTTAAAAAAAAAACACAGAAGCAAAGAGCAGCGACCAATTGTTTGGAAATCACACTTCCTGTAAGGTGAGAACAGAAAGAGAAACTGGTTGGCTAGAAATTTCTTTCAGGTTAGTTTTCATAAGAAACAAAGCATGAGACCATGGTTACCACATTGATTGTCCCCCCCCCCCCCCCCGCCCCCTTTAGCGAAGTTGATTGAATCTCTTGCTCCGGTGGTTAAAGGATAATCTCACGGTTTTTCCTCTGAACCTTAGCATGCATGACCCACTTGGGTCCTAGTGTAGGAGCCTAGTCCCCATTCCAAGCTCCTCTAATTTCTATTTAACAATCCCGTAGGAAAGTATGTTACTATCTCACTAACCAAATGGAGGGTCCATTTGAGCAGTAACATTCCTTATCCACTCCTGGGTCTTCAGCACTCATGGAGGCATTCAGTAAATATTCACCTAAAATAATCTCTGTTTGGTTAGAATAATTAAAATAAGGAAACTCATTAATTTTATTATAGTCTCTGTCACATTACCAGAAGTTATTCTTTATAGTAAGCTAAAAGGAAAGCTACAATAAAAACTCAGGTTTTATTAAGAACTTTTAGAAGAATTTGTAAGAGAAGAGCAAATTCATGAATCAGAGTCAGTAAAAAATATTACGTTAGAATACAGTTGCAATAAAGAAAAAAATGATGGAGAAATGAAGATTCTTTTTGAACAATCTGAAATATTAATCACTACTTTGAATGACCTAGTTCAATTCAAAAGTAGGGGAATGTGGAAACCCATTTTAAAAAAGCCTTGATTGGTCGTTCATGTAGTGGGGTGTGCAATTAGGCTGAAGATGCGGCTTGGAGAGTATCCCAAATGTTTATAAGTAAACACAGTAGAGTCTGTTAATGCGCGAAACAATCCCACACCAGTTAGAATTTAAAGGAGTATTTATTTTGGGGGGTAAAACTCACAGAACACCAACCATCAGGAAAGGAGCCTAGTGGCTGGAGCAGGAGCCGGAAGCAAGCACCGGAACCAAGAGAGCCAGCCAAGGCTTGCTGCTCTATTTCAAAGATAAATAGACCACACCCCAGCAGGCTGCTATTTCAACAGCTATTGGCTGAAGGAGCGGTAGATCCTTCCGGCAGCACCTCCTGCTTTTCTTTAAGTAAGAGCGGAAGGCGCTCCCACAGAACAGTGGGCTCCTACTTCAGCGGCTATTGAGCAGAAGTCCTCTCGCGTCTGTGACCATCCCAGCCCAGAGTTTTGCCCCACTTCGAGTATCTGGATGGAAGGCAGGCAGAAGCTGATAGTCCTAGTTGTCAGGTCAAGATGGAGGAAGGAGACTTGTTGACAACCTCAGTGTAAGCGGTGTCAATGTAGGAGAATCAGAGGCTACGAGACTCCGCATCAGAAGCACGCCAAAGAGCGGTATGATGGGTCTAATGATAGACAGTGGAGAAGGGGCAAGACCCTCTTTTGCATGGGGAATCTGCATGGAAGAAAATACCTAAATGGAAATCACAGCCCTGCAGATTCAGAAGCAAGGCGAGGAACAGGGGCTGGCCCGCAGTCTATTTCAAGTGGATTGTGGACTCCCTGGGATAAAAAGTAGATTTCGGAAGGTGGGATTGGAGTAGAGCAACACACCGAGGGTTAAGATGGAGCTCCTGGGAACCTTCAGGTTAAAATGAAGGACGGAATGAGAAACAATACAGACAAAAGAGGATCACAAAATGCGGATTAGCCTTGGGCAACTTTCCTTCTTCCAGCTAGCAGCAGACTCTGAGCCCTGTCCACTGTCAGTTCAGCAAATTCAGGAAAAGGACAGTTGCTAAGCAAAGAAACACAATTTGCTCTGTTCCTTCTAACATATTCTTGCTATCAGCAGTTCCAAAAAAAAAAAAAAAAAAGGAAAGAAAGAAAGAAAAAGTGCCCCCATCAAATTAGCCACTTGAATTGCCTTAAATATCAGGGTACAACTGATTAAGTTCACATGCTAGGGAGGAAAATAAGCGCTTTTCAAGAAGGGGGTTAGGAGAGGGGAACAGCTCTTTCCATAGTTCAAGACATTTAGGGCCTTAACACATGAAAATTGCCCTCTGAAGCAAAAGTCTTTGTTTAAAAAAATTGAATACACTATTCAATATATTTGATGACGTCCCAGCTATAAGAATCTCCCAATTTATTCCCTTGCTTTAAAAAGGTGAAAAAAAATTAATAACATGCTTTTTTTGGGAAGGAAAAGAAAGGAAATTTTTTTTTACGCTAAAAGTAAATACTGTGGGAGAAAACCGTTCCACTATGGGATATTGAACAAACTATTGCAGCCAATTTTTAACTGGCTTCTATAATGATATTCAAGCTTGAGTTTAATTTGTATTTTGTGTTATTATGATGGTGGCCAATCAAGTAACATGCTTCCTACAAATGTCCAGGGCAAAAAGTGTGCCACACCTGTTGGCATTACAGACTGTGTTATAAGAATCTTTTTTTTTTTTTTTTTTTTTTAATTTTTCGAGACAGGGTTTCTCTGTGGCTTTGGAGCCTGTCCTGGAACTAGCTCTGTAGACCAGGCTGGTCTCGAACTCACAGAGATCCACCTGCCTCCCGAGTGCTGGGATTAAAGGCGTGCGCCACCACCGCCCGGCCTTGTTATAAGAATCTTACAGATATCAGTTCGATATTAAAAATGGCATTCTGCCTTGCAAAACTCAGTCCATTGACTGAGACGGCTAGCAAGGCGTCAGGCTATGGACAACGATAACGCTGACGTCATGCCAACCTTTTATCTTTGCAGAAAGGCCAGTGAGACTTGAACTCTGAGTGGGCCGTTGGAACAAGCGGGACCGATGTGCCCAGAGAAGGAATGAAGTATGGATGTAAAGGAACGTCGGCCTTACTGCTCCTTGACCAAGAGCAGACGAGAAAAGGAACGGCGGTATACGAACTCGTCCGCAGACAATGAGGAGTGTCGGGTCCCCACGCAGAAGTCTTACAGCTCCAGCGAAACCTTGAAAGCTTTTGACCATGATTCCTCGCGGCTGCTTTACGGAAACAGAGTAAAGGATCTGGTCCACAGAGAAGCAGACGAGTATACTAGACAAGGTAGGTACACACTCTAGTCAAGCACAAGGCATGGGGGTGTGTTCCTAACTTTGGGGTGCCCCTGGGTTTCAAGCCCTAGATGGTGAAACGACTATTTTTTTTTTTGTCCTGGCTGATAGTTTCAATTTTGAAATACCCAGTGGGTCACACAGTATATCAGATGAGAGACAGAAAGTCACCTCTGACACACGGGCTCACAGACCTGGGTCCTCACATGTGTGGAATAGAACTCCTCAGCCCCACATCTGTGCACGTATGAAGTTGAGGGTTTCTCTACTCACAAACAGTGCTATTGGAGATGGTGAAGGATAACAGGGATTGTGAAAGAAAATCTCACAAGCACCCATTAGAGTAGAGTTAGGGGTCTAGCTAACCTCACATTCCATCCAGCCCGTCCATCCACTAGTGACTATATTATAAAAGATAGTGTCTATAGTATACAACCTCATACTTAACACAGCCTACATTTCCCAGATGGCCCCAGGACTTGGTCATTTGCATACATTTCCTGCCCATTTCCTCACTCTGTTTTCCTGCTCCCTGCCTTCCATTCAAATGGTGACACTTGTAACTTTAGTGCGGCATCCTAGAATGACCGATTCTCGTACTTGTAAACAAGTCGCGTGTTTTAAGGAGGGCACACAGTTAACTTTGTCTTGTACAAGAATGAGGTGCGGGCAAGGTTTCGCCAGTGAAAATAAAACCCTCTTGCGTGAGCTTTTCAAAGTCCATAGACCTAGTAGTGCCCCTCGGTTAATTGAATCGGGAAACTAGGAGATATGAAACTTCAGGAAGAGCAGCGATCTGACTGTGTTTTTCAGTCGCCTCACTGACTGAGTGACTGAAAACTTGACATTCACCGGGACCAAATCTAGGAAACTTTAAAAAGGGATGACACAGAAGGAACATTCATGCCGGGCATAATCCCAGCACTTGGGAGGCAGAGGCAGGCAGATCTTTGTGAGTTCGAGGTCAGCCTGGTATACAAGAGCTAGTTCCAGGACAGGCTCCAAAACCACAGAGAAACTCTGTCTCGAAAAAAAAAAAAAAAAAAGAGAGAGAGAACATTCATTCATTCATAAGTCATTCAGGAGGCTCTCATTTGCTTACCCATGATGCCTTTCTCCTCTGCGTTACTGGAGAAGTCATGCCAAATAGAGTGAAAGGGTATTCATTTGTCAAAATCAGTTTATATTGTAAAATAAATTTACCCAATTTCCTGGAGAGAGATTCCCCCTCAAAAGCACTCCTTACTATATACTGAAATTTCATGAAGAGGAACAAGATAGCTTCAGATTTTTTTTTTTTAATTCTGTTTAAAAGAGATACAGAGCGCACTTGGCCGTGTACCCTTGGGAAGTCAGCAAACACTCATATGATCCTTACACTGTATACTAGAATGCTGAACCTATTTTCCCTCTCATATTGTCTCCACAGCTGAAAAACATTATCAACATACATTTTTCACTATTTTTGTAAAGTCGGCAATACATGCCATCTGAACTCTACATGAAGTCTTGCTTTTCTTTAACAAAAATAACTGGTTAGTGCCACGTCGTGGGAAGAGTGGTAGAACGGCCCTGCTTTTTCAAGCACTATTAGGAGAAAACTCGGTCGCACATGTGGCAAAAAGCACCGGGGAGGCTCATCCCCACCCCAAGCAAGCGTTTTAGTTTTGGCAGAGAGGAGGATGCTTAAACCAGGTTAAAAATAGCTCACTTAGATTTTCACCTCCTAGGCAGTGCCAAGCCAGCGCAGGCTGTTGTGTACGACAGTGGCGACACCATCTGTGGAAACCGTGGAACCCGAGTTCTTAGGGGACCAAAGAGTACTATTACTCAGCTCCTTGCAAGCCAGGGACTAGGGAAGGAGAAAGTGTGCCAGGCGGCAGATGGTGGCCTCTCATCTGGATCCTAGTGGAGGAATGGAGGGCGGGGCGGAGTTATGAGCAGAAAAGAAGGGAAAAGCCAAGATACGGTGCTCAGAGGTACAAGCACTCAGTCTCAGGCCCCTGCATTGGCGTTCATTAAACAATGGAACGTATGGCTAATTCTTGCTAAGGTGTGCCTGTGGGGACTGTGCCCATGCGCTGAGTGGGCTGGGTGTGGTCACGTGATGAAGGCTGCGCAGCCGACTCGCCCGCACATTGAGACAGTGAGACTTGGAGATGCCATGGTTAGCTCTCCCAGAGAGGTGACTTGCGTGGAGGACCGTTGAACCCCCAGCTCTTAGCGCTTAGCCCCAAAGCTCTGAGCGGGTGCCAAAGAAGAGAACAAGTCTTAAAACCTGTCACGTGCTTTATGGCAGTAAATTGTCTGTGATTCCCTCTTAACACGTAATGGTTTGGATAGTGAAAAGCGAGCACATCTAAGTCACATACAGGAAGTGAAACTGATCTGAATTGCTAGTGGGTAGATGAGGATTAGCACCAGAAAAATCGTGTGAATTCTCTCTCTCTCTCTCTCTCTCTCTCTCTCTCTCTCTCTCTCTCTCTCTCTCTCTGTGTGTGTGTGTGTGTGTGTGGTGTGTTCCTGTGTCAGCCAGAGGTTGACATCCAGCCTACTGCTTTTTCCACGGGTGCTGGAATCTGAACTCATGTCCTAATGCTTGAACAGCAAGTGCCACTTTCCCAGCCCAAACTTCTCCTTTGTCCTCCTTCTTAGAACAGGATTGGCAGGCATAGCAGAGAAGCAAATAAGCAAGCTTGCTATCAAACCATGTTTTTCTTGAGCAAGCATAATGGAAAATTCTCCCGGGCTTTCTTTTGCTTTGAACCTGACAAATGTCAATTTTTTTTCCTTACTGACTATTATGCTGTGGGATTAGTTATTTAATTGACAAAATGTGCTTCCTGCCACAGTTCCTGACATCATACACACAATAAAAATGAAAGATTAACAGTATTAACAGTAGCCAGAGATCTTTGAAACAGTTCCAAAGAATCGTGCTAATTTAGCTCATCTAAAGAGTTTTGAAACAGGTTGTTCCCTGCATCCCTCTGTTCCTTAAGTGACACGAGAAAATGCCATTTCACCTGCAGGAAGGGATAAAGAGAGGCCCTGTTGATGCAATTACATGGGGACCTCAAATGGAGAGATACAAGGTTTTTATTTTTATCAACAGATTCTGCTGGCCTGTCATCACATTTGATTTTAATCAGATTTTTATGGCTTCACTGACTGGCAGGTGACTCCTGCTAATTACGTGTTATATTTAGATCCTCTAAAGCTGGGATGATTTCAATCTCACAGTTATGGGCAAGTGGACTGGATCTCACACAGACCTCTCTCTCCCTCCTTCTCTCTCCCTCTTTCCTCTTTCCCTGTCTCTCCCTCTTGCTCTTTTGTTCTCCTTTCTCTTTCTCCCTCTCTCTCTTTCTTTCTCTTTCACTCTCTCCTCTTTCTCCCTCTCTCTCTTTCGTTCTCTTGTCTCTCTCCTTCTGTCTTTCTCTCTTTCACTCTCTCTTCTCTCTCCCCTTTCCTCCCTCCCCCATCTGTCTCTATCTCTCTCTCTCTCTCTCCCTTCTCCTCCCTCTCCCTCTCCTTCTCTCTTTCTCTCTCTCTTTCTCTTTAAACCTCCTGGTGCTTTTTTTTGGCCGGCAGAAAGAATTGCTCTTTCTGCAGTCCTGTTGCTGTCTGTATGTGTGAGGGGTTTACCGGTGACAGTGACATGTTCTGCATTCTTGGGTACTATTTTCTTTGATTCCTCTTTGAAGAGAACTTATCTCATCAGGTCAGAGACACATTTCTTACAAAACAGCTGCTAACCATCAGCCCACAGTTTGGGAGAAGGGATAAAATGAAAGGTGTTTTTTGTTTTTTTGTTTTTTTTTTTTTTCCTGTGCTAGAGCTGTCCGTGCTATGCTCATGTGTCCCTGAAATTCCTGAGGAAACAAGAATAGATATAAAGCCCAACATGGAATATTGGTTTGAGGGTTGAAATTTGAAAGGCAGTTTCTCTAAGAATAAGAAAACTTTCATTTCTCTGAACTGCAAGCCTACAAAAATCCCCCCACCCCAAGTAGTCCAAAACCTAAGTGTTTAAATATAGTCTTCTGTGTGAGGGTAATGAACTTAAGAGTTTTAAAACACACACACGCACACACAAGTTACTGGCCACAGATAGGAAGGTTATCACTGTCAGTCAGCATCGTATCTATGCTGATGTATCAACGAAATCAAAGTAAGAACTATCTTTGTATAGAAGGGGAAAAGGGAAGGCGGATCCAAGACAGGCTCCTGATGGCTGCTGTGCATGACTCATCTCTGGTCTTCACCAGCTGTGTGGCCTCACCCTCAAAAACGCATCCCTTTGGGGCTTGCTTTCTCTTTATTCCTAGCAGAATACAGTTTCCAGAAGCCCTGCTCCCACAAATGTGCCTCGTGAACTCATCCGTGGTTAGTCCAGGTTCAGTTCATGTGTGGTTTGTGGAGTTCTGTGGTGAGCAGTGAGAAGGAGCAGAGGGAAAGAGAAAGGTACCCATGTGGGCCACCTCCTAAGCTAAGTCTCCTTGACTGCTGAGCTGGGGCAAATTTGCATGGTAAACAAACACTATGCCGCCTGGCTACATCCCCAGCCCTACTTCATCTTTTGCATATAATTCTGTCCCTTGTTAAAGAAGAAACAAAAGAACACTAGACGAGCAGTTTGGGCTCTCTGTAAATGTATTCCAAGGATTCTGGCATAATAGTGGCTTGAATGGTTTCCCCTTCCGCCCTCCTCCTAGCTGACCAAGCTGAGTGATGACCCCTGATCAGCACTGCAGATGAGCTGAGGAGCTACCAGGGGCCTGAAGGGCTGAGTGAAGGCAGGTGTGTTTTCATTTGTACCCCATGAGAGCTCAGAGCAGGCGAAGACCAGAAAGAATGCTGCCGTAGTTTCAGGGTTCCAGACAGAGGCTGGCCTGTCTCTGAAATGAAACTTACATGTAAGTGGATGTCCTCTTACAGGGACACCCGCTTCCTCGTCCTCTCTGACTGGATGGAAGCTTAAACAGATGC